TGATGAACGAACGACTCAAACCCGAAGACTCGAAACAGGTGAACTACTTGACTAATTCCAGTACAGAACCTATAGGATGTTGAGCATGCGCGACTGAACGAATCACTCCCCGAGACGACTCGTTCTTCCCGAGTCACATTAAAGATTCATTCAAAATGAACGAATCGTTCAAGAACGACCCAACACTAATCTTCTTCATCTGGACTGCATGTCTAGGCTACTGCAACTATCTTCAGTTTTGATGTCAGTAATGTTCTGCGCCAAATCGGTAGGACGTTTGTCTCACGCAAACCCAAATATCTTTTTGTTTCCCTTGCACATTTTACTGACCAGTAGCCTTGCACGTTTTCTTGGGCTATAGCCTATGTTGGGTTGACTTTGTTTGAGGTGGGTATCCTAATAAGGATACCCACCTCAAACGAAGTCATATCATACAGTGACTTAATAATAATGTAACGACGTGCTTCGTGCAGTGGTACGAACACAATCAAACACCCATAACTCACTCAGTTCTGTTTGCCAGGGAGGCTTGCAGGAAGCTGGTCGTGACATCGGCGTGTTCAGAGACACGACTAGTTCGTCCTTGACACCGAGAATCGTGACGAGATCGTCATGATTCCAAACAACAACCTTTTTCCTGTTTATGGGGAAACGGGTAAAAATTAAGATAGGCTATGTAGCTTTCCGAACATTTAGTCATTTCAAAGTTTGAAGAACTCAAGAAGAACTTACCTCAAGCGTGAAGGGTCAATTTGAGTCCACAGTGAGAAGGAGAGAGTAAGTCTGCATCTTGAAAGGGTCAATTTAATTTCTTGGGCTTGCTGTTTATTATTAACACCTGGAAATAATGCGAGTAAATTTAGAACAGATTTATATTGGATTGAGCAAACATGGGGAAAAGCTTGTCATGGGAGGAAGCTGTCATGGTGGCAAGTGTCTGCCAAACAGCACTAGTACACCCAGTGGCTCTCATCCCTGTCTGATGGATGAACCTGGGGTCGTTGGCTCACTGATACCGTCTTATCGCACTCCGCAAGGTGGTCCTTTGAGGTTTACACCAAATTCTGGCGAGTCTCGCAGGGCATCCTTCCCAAATCACTCAAAATCCGTGGCAATGAACTAACAAAGGCCCGAGATCAAAGGCTCTCAGATGATGGAGCTGATTTCCCACATATTATTCTGCGTGTATTTCATACATTCATTCATGAAGATACATTATCAACTGCCTGCCTTCTCCTCTATACCCGACACCCCTCTCCAGTGTTGACAATTACGGTTATCTGTGTTAATATTGAGTAAATGTGTTGACAACGATGATGACGAACTAATGGACTTCATATCTTCATCATCATCGAAACATCTCCAGTAGGCTACACGTAAACATTTGCACGTAACTGCAGAGAAAAACATTTGAGTGACCAAATTATGATGAAATTGTAGCCTATCATATTTCCTTTTGAAATAGTTTCTGAATATAGGTGCACATTGGGCTACAAATATAGCAGATAAGAGACGTTTTTTATAGTCTATTATTATATTATCTGTCACAATAATTTATTCATTATAGGCCTATACTAAATAACGTATATCGAACATCAAGGATGCACTAATATTGACATTTTGGCTCATAAATATTTCTTTGTTAAAGCCAGTATTCTACATTGTAGCCTATATCTTTGTTCATTGTATAAAAAAATAACACTTTGCGAGAAAATATTATTATGATAGATAAAATATCACTATATAGACTAAAATAAAATGTAGGCCTATTAAATTTTAGGCTAAATACATTTATAAAAGTGTTTAGAATTTAGAATTTGACATATTTTAAGTGCAATAATGCATCAAAAACATTGTAAAGTTATACAGAAGTAAAAATGAAGAATTATTTATTTTTATTATTTTAAAGAGCCTAAATATGAAATATCAGACATTTGCTTACAATACTGTCAAATTCTGCTAGATTAAAAAAAAAAAATGCTGATATTGTTCACACACACACACACACACACACACAGTGCATCCTTAATTATTACATACAATTTGTGAAGATGTGTACCTTCAAAAAGGTAAATGAGACAAAATAAAATTGAAGAATCAAATCCAACGTCCCCTAAAATAGTCATTAACATAGGCTATCGCGATTATTTTTGTGCATTTTTGGATTGGCCAGAAATGAAATAGAATTCACAACAGTTAGCTTTTGCAATGTGTGCCTGTCTACCTTTATAACCTGTCTAACATGTTTTACTCAGCGAGGGTGGGCTATGAGGCTACATGTTTTCCAGTTTAATCTGAACGCCCGAAAACGCCGTAATGTGTAAAACAAACAGCCGCTAATGGTACTTTTCAACCCTACATCCCCAGCCAATATCACTGAAAATGTGTTACTTTTGGCCGCATAATTAATTTCTGATTGAGTCCTGAAGCAGTTCAACAATATTACGCATTCGTTTCCCCCCTCAATCCGCCGAGTTATTTTTTATGCATATCCATTCACAATATGTCTATATTTTTCTCTTCGCATTTGCCCTCGATAAAAAGCAAAATAATAATGAATCATTTCATAAATAATGGGTTTAGGGGCTTATCGACCTCGCAGTGGCCGCCACTGCGCTCTTATCTCGCCTGGCCACATTGCGCCCGTGTTCCGCTCCCCATACTGAGAGGCGCGCGCTGGACGTGATGTGGAATTATATAGACCTCACTTCCAGTTCCACACAGCACTTCAGTGCATCTAAAACCTCAGACATGGATGACCCACCACAAAATGGCTCCATGCACACACTAACATCCACCGCCCGACGACGGTAAGAGGCGAAAATTGCTGTTTCTGCGCTCCTTTGATACTAACGCAGGTAACAATTAGGCTTTCTATCGACGCCAGATGATTAATATGAGGTCAGGTATGATTTATATAATTTTTATTTGGTTGTATTCGGTCTTGGAGCAAATAGGCCTTTGAGCCTGCAGAATGCAGATATCGATTCGCCATTTATTTTATAAGTAACGCGCGCTTTAAACACGATCGTTTAATCTAAAGTTACGAAATTCGATTCATTTCGATTCAATTTTCCACACAAAACCTCCCCGCCTGCTATTTTCCTCTTTTCCGTTTAGTGCTTAGAATAACAGTCATCATAACTCCATCAATAAATGGACGGATCCCATCAATATTTCACATTTATAAAACTAAAATTCACATTGTGGTCGGGTTATTTGTTACTAAATATGGTAAACACGGATTATTTGTTTTTCAAGTTTGTTGACATTCACGTGTCGAATTATTAATCAATTTGAGACCGTGTAAATAGCCTATGCTTATTATCGTCATATTTTGTTGTTAAATAAAGCTTGTTTTAAAGCAACTCTGAGCAAATATAAGCACTTGCATATATTATAAATATAAGACGATACATTATAAATAGCTACGGAGTAAACAGAAATAGGTAAATGTATAAGAGTATCTAAATGGGGAATGATGTAGGCTATTAATAATGATCTTGCAGTAAAATAAACTTAGATGACACATGGATTGTCTGAGAATGAAAACAACATAAAACGAATATTATCGTGCATCAATCTTAGAAATAGTTTTTTTTTATCAACGACGAAATGGCATTATAAACAAACAGTCAACTATAGAAAAACTAAAATATGTTTTTAAATATCTATAATATTTAAAACCAGACATAAATGTGCAAAAACTACTCACGTAAAAATGTTCGTTTTAGCTCCATTCCTGGATTTCAAAAAAATGAAAAGACAAACAACTCATACAAATAAATGAAGCCAACATATTGACAGTAACATCACCCCTAAAATAAATAGGTTAATATTAATTTATATTGAAATAGGCTATACGAAATTATAGTGATTTAGATTGTAGTTACGAGTAATGTTAAAATAATACCGAAACAACAACAACAGAATGATAACAAAGTTGGTCATTTAAGTGTAAGAATATGATTTAACATGCAAATCTATAAAGGTGTTATTGAATATGTCCTGTAATAATTACGCATTATTTTCTGTTAAAAATGTAGAACATGTTAGCAGGAGATAAGCTCTTTCCCAACCAAGACACCGGTTATCTCCAGATACCATGAACAGAATGATGACATGACAGACCAAGGTCAGGTCGAGACCCAAAAAAAAAAAACACACCACCACACATATATCATAAAAGAAATTTGATCGAAATCTCTTTGAAATGCATCAACTGTCGCTTGTAGGCTACATATAAGCAATCTTGCTTGACTAGCCTATTTCTTCTCATATTGGTGCAAGAAGAAACGTCTAAAACTGATCAGGCCTTTGCATGGCTCAGTGAGACACACATGGCACGGGTTTTCACAGAGCTGCTGTATTACTGGACCCTGTCAGTGTTTCCAGTCACGCCCGCGCTCAGCACAGAAAGGATGCGCCGCGCGTAATAACGCAGGCGTTCAATCAATGTTCCTAAAGGTGTGTTCTTTCACAGGTGACCTCCGATGAGAAGCTAAACAGCCGCTGGATTGATTGGTTGGGAATTATAATTACCTTTGGATACCACTATATAGGCTATATACAAGCTTTTGGGAAAACCCCTTTTTTTGGATTTTTACTCAAGGATGATGGAAAAACTGAAATCCGAGCAATTTCCGCTCAGCCCGAGCGCGGAGGGATACGCATGCGGGAAACAGGAAGGCACGACGGCGGAGACGGGAGAGCATCACCCCTCAGAGGAGCGCGGCGTCCTCAATGGCGTTGCCAAGGAAACGGCGCACCACGCCACCGAGCTAAAAAAGGAAGTGGCGGTGATCGAGCTGTCCAGGAGAGGAGGGAGCGCGGATATAAAAGGCAGAGAGCTCAAGGCAGACATCAGCCATAAGGTGCAGACCACCGAGCTGTGCAGACCACCGATTCCACTGCCGCTGCCTCCCAGAAAGCCGCTGAGCGACACTCGAATGGTGCAGTTGAGTCCGCCCGCTTTCCCTCTCCCGGCTCGAGCGATGCTCTACAGCAACATGACCCCACCGCTCGCCACTATTAACAGGTAGGCTAACTTCTGCTGTTACACTCCGTGCTGAGTAGGATATCAAACAAAGATATTTTATTTCATTTAAAAGTTAAAAATGTGTTGCAAAGTTAAGATGCATTTATGGAAAAACATTGCTTAATGAATCTGTATTCCACTTTTTGCGCATTTTAATATTTGCAACTATCAGAAAATCCGTAATTTCTCGATTTGATATTTGCTCTGTAATACACTAAAATAATCTGTAAATATTATTTATTTTATGATAGCGTACCTGAAATGATCGGTAGACTACACTGTAATGCTATGGGAGCCTACAGTTACTTGCAATTATTTATTTAGCCTATTGCCTATAAATGTATATTAAACGACACTGAAACACATAATTAATTAAAATAAATTATATAAACAATATATAAAAAGGTAAAAGATTCACCTTATTTTTTTTTTATGTTTTCATTTTCTCACATATATGTAAAATATAAATGCATTGAAATGTTTTATGTACAAACATGCTATCTTCCTATAAATGTATATTAAACGACACTGAAACACATAATGAATTAAAATAAATAATTATATAAACAATATATAAAAAGGTAAAAGATTCACCTTATTTTTTTTTTATGTTTTCATTTTCTCACATATATGTAAAATATAAATGCATTGAAATGTTTTATGTACAAACATGCTATCTTGCCGTACTCTTTTCCACTATTCTATTCTATTCTATTCTATATCCAGGCTATATCAAATATGTAAGCACATCGTTTTCTCCATCAGCGATGTAATATGTTAAAGATAAATGTAATGCATTCAAATTTATTTGAATACACTTTACCAAAGCTTTTTCTGTTGTTCTTTATAATTTAAGTATTTCAGTGATTTCTTTCTTATTTTTAAAGACATTTTTACCATAGAATATATAATACAATGCATTAAAATGTATTTTTATATGCATTTCTTATAAGCTTTGTCTATTGCATTCGAACACCTTAATTTAAGTGCAATTTAAGCATTTTTTTTTTTAATTTTTAAAGACTTCTTATCTTGGAATATGTAAAAGATAAATATAATGCATTAAAATGTATTTTTATATACACTTTTTTTAAAAAGCCTTTTCTATTCTATTATTTTCTATTTACATATTTAGATGCTTTCTTATTTTTAAAGACATTTTATGTTGGAATATGTCAAAGATGAATATAATGAATTAAAATGCATTTTTATATACACTATATATTTCTATTCTGTTTTCTGTTTTGTTCAATGACATTTGAAGCAGATAAACAGAAACATTTTAGGAAACATCAGTTTTCTTACATCGCATGTCCTGAATTGCGTGTGTGTTTCTCCTCAGTGATTTTGCTGGAGAAGCGGATCAGTATGGGATGTATCCCAGCAGTCGAGTGAAACGCAGACCTGTACCTTATGAGGTTGAAATCAACGATGGTAGGAGCATTTCAGATCTTTCTAAGTATGGATAGCCACTCTTTGGCTGTGCTTTTCTCTTTCTTCTCATGATTTGCCATCCATCATCTGTCTCATTTTCTCCATTTAAAACAACATCATGTGCCAAACAAGCCAGATTTAGTAAAAGAAAATATTTAGTAATTTTGCAAAAGTATGGAAGAATGCAAACAAAACGAATATGATAAAAATAACAAGATAACTTCCCAATGTCTTTATTTGCTGTACAGTTACTTTGTGTCACTTTTTAAATTAATCATTAATTTTCTAATAAATTATTTATGAATTAATCATTTTAAATTCTCATGCACTTTAATATAACACCTTTTAAATTTTTTGGCTAGGAACATCACATTAGTTGCACTTGCAAATAAAAAAAAAAGTAAAATAAATATTAGTTAGCTAAAGTGACAATTTCCATGATGTCAATATCTTTGCATCCCTAAAAATCATAGTACATTGCACAGAAATGCATTTCTTAAACTAAACGGAGAACAAAATAATCTTGTGAAACAAAGAAGATTTAAGACAGTAATCAGGGATGCGTGAGAGAGAAAAAAAGTGGTTCCAGTTGCCAATTGGAAAAAAAATCAGTGTATGCACTGGAGAGATAGCTGTGAGTTGCCTATAAAAATGCAAATATGAGTCAGTGTGTTTGGCTGCGAGTGCTGAGACAGAAAAGCAGGATTCAAATGAGACGAAAACGGCGACTGCACAACACAATATGTTCTTATACGATATAGAAGAGCATCAAAGGTAACGCTACCCTCGCCGCCTTTTCGAAAAACGCTTTAAATTATTCCTTAACTATCAAGAGGTTGGGAATCCATTTAACTAAGTGTAATTATATGAAGTCACTGGTGCATCAGACAAAATGAAGCATTGATAGCTCTGTTCCAACAGAGCTGTCTAGGATGAGAAATGGCCCTGAATAATTGAATGTAAAATGCCATAGATAATAGAAAGGTTAATTAATTCTTGGCTAAATAGAGGGAGATAAAGAGCTAATCTATCAGTGAGAAGTGAGTGAACACCTTAGGTGTGTTCACAAGGAAACCACTGTTAAAGCACTCAACCGCGTCGCAGATTTGTTACGAACAAGAACTAAAAAAATGCAGATTTTGACACCCCAAACCAAACACTTCCTTTGCTTTGCAGGTTCACAGCCCAAAGTCGTGCGACGGATTTTCACGAACAGCCGCGAGCGCTGGCGGCAGCAGAACGTGAACGGTGCCTTCGCCGAGCTGCGCAAGCTCATCCCAACCCACCCTCCGGACAAGAAGCTCAGCAAGAACGAGATCCTCCGCCTGGCCATGAAGTACATCAACTTCCTGGCCAAGCTCCTCAACGACCAGGATGACATGGTGGGCGGCGAAGCCCCCACCCGTGCCGCCCGAGATGCGACCCTGGCGCGGGACGACCTCCTTCAGGAGATGCTGAGCCCAAACTCCAGCTGCGGGAGCCTGCTGGACGGCGACGCCAGTCCGGAGAGCTTTACCGAAGACCAGGACTCTTCGGTGGAGTCCAGGTCTTCAGCGAGGGGACTGCATCACTCCAGCCACCCGATAGACGGAAACGCCAAGCGATGACTGATTTGGCATTGACGGACTGAGAAGGCGCAATGCTTCATGGACCTCAACTAGCGTATGTTCATGTCGTGTGCAAGCATATTCTTACGTATGACTTTCTGTTGAGCTCTTCTCTTCGCGCTTCGACACTAAGGTGCCCTCCGCGGTGAAACGCTGGTACGGGGGAAAACGTCAGGTAGATTTTTAAGTCCACACTTAGGCAGGAATTGTTGATCGCCACCTGGAAACGAAAGAAGACAGATTGAATGGTACCCACATCTCATCAGGTACACCGCTGTGAAGGAGGTCACTGGAAACAGCTGGACTTGTACAACGAAAAAGAGCATTTGAAGCAAGAAAAGGAATAGTTCACCCCCCCCCAAAATGTCAATTTTGGCATCATTTACTCACTCTCGTGTCACTCCAAATGTGCGTTTCTATCTTCGGTGGAACCTAGAAGAACAAAATTTGAAGAACCGTACAATGACAGTCAATGGAGTCAAAATTTTTAGTTTTGGACCCCATTGACTTCCATTGTACGGATGACTTGTATTGTTCTTCACAAGATTTAAAGTTTGAAGTGACATGAGGGTGAGCCCCGGCTTTGGCTTTGTGCAACGTCTTTGAGACAAATGTGTACATACTGGGAATTTTAATGAGTTATGACTTTTATTGTAAGTATTACGAGCATCAATGGCAATAGCAACAAAATGCTATTTGGAAAAAACGCCATTTTTTGGTATTATGTTTCGAATCCCACACGCATACAAGAAAAATGGTGGAGGAGGTACAAGAACGTGTACATAGACCGGGATAATGTCGTGTGTCTGTAACGATGTTCCTTTAGACTGGTTCTTTTGCATTGTGATCTTGGTACACCATTAATTCGCATCTCCATTTCACCTTCATTCATTCATTCGTTTGTTTCTTTGGCTCAAACACCCCTCCAACCCGACCATCTCGCAATGACGCATTCATGGAGTAACGTTCTGTCACTTTATTTGACTTGTATGAACTTGATCTGCTTTTTAGCAGAGGATTGAGTAGCCAGTCTTGGTACCTTTAAGTCTTTTATTGGGTATTAAATGAGCAAGCAAACAAAAAAATGGTTATTTTAATGTGATATTTAGTAGAAAGACCTTTGTTGTAAGGTGAAAATCTATCTATGAATATATGCAATGTTATATCACACAAATTTTATATAAAAACCCACAAAAATAAAAAACACAACCCTGAACGTGTGCTATTCTTCTGAAAAATGCTGAATATAATAGAGGATTTATTGTTAGTGTGGACATTACGTTCATATTGTCAAATGTCTGAATTATAATAGACTTTTCTGTTGCCATGACAACTGTAAAGGTAGAGAAGGAAAAAAAATCCAGTGGAGCGTTTTACGAAGTGTCAAAAATCATAGCAGGCAGGGATTAAATAGAAAAAAAAAATTTGTGCATTGAAGGGACTGAGATATATGAAAATACTGTCAAATCACTCATGCTAGTTGGGACTTAAAGAAAAAAATAATACAATATATTTTTTATGTAAGGAACAAAATGTTAAATCCCTGACATGAAAAATAAACACAGTGGGATGTGATAACAAGAAATACCTTTAACAAGATTTAGATTCAACCATATACTGCAGGCACTTAACACGACAAAAACATAGATATGCCCTGCCCTAATCTTATTTTAAGATTTTGAGGGTGTGAGGACAGTCAGGGTCATAGCAGGGCATACATGGGTGTCTGAACCCTGGGAATATGATTCTGAAGGGCTGATAAGAATCAAAGCCAATGAAAAAGTCATTGGTCGGCCCCAAGGGGCCCTACAGGGACTGTGAAAAACTGATCCAAGGGCAGTTCCCAGACCAATCACTGATCCACACCCACACCCACACACATGAACGACCTTCCCAAACGTTCTCCATCCTATCAGCTGGAGGACATGAGAAGCATTTCAAGCTACATGTCAAATATCTGCACAGTAACTCCTCTTTTATATCAAGAGGAGATAGCGTGAAATCACAAATACACAATTTGTATGAGGATGGACAGTGATTGATAGTATTTCATACAACATTTACAGTATTTTACATTGATAGACCACCTAAAAAAAATTAAAATGGGTTATTATTTACTCACGTTGTTCCCAAATGTTTTTTTTCCCCCACCTGGTTTAATGTCAGTGATGATCGATCATAAGTTTAGACACAAAACAAAGTAAGTTTGAGGCAACTTTGACGTCAAAACTGGTGCAAGCCATCTTGACGCACCATACTTGAATTTATGCAAACAAGATTTAAAAGCTATGATGAATTTCTTTAGCAAATTTAAATTTTGTGGTTTTAAAAGACATGGAATATATGTACAGTATGGATACTTTCACACTGAGCTCCAAAAATGACAAAAGTCACCAGAAACAATGCGTAGATTCATTTATTTGTAGTGATATTTAATGAATAACAGATAAATAAATAAATAAATACATACCTTTTTATATGATATATTATTATATAAAATAATATTATATTATTTAATTTTATATTATTTTTGTTAAAAAAAAAAAATTACTTTGACACTGAACTTGAAAAATGACAAAAATACTAATCACCATAAATGAAATGCTTAGAGTTATTTATTTGTAGTGATATTTAATGATCGATAGATAAATAAATAAATACATAATATATTTTTTATATTATATATTATTAGATAAATAATATTACATTATTAAATATTATATTTGGTAAAAAACACCATAAATGGTGTTTATGCATTTAAACATTTGAAATGTTTATTGTTTACTCATGTTTATTTAATGTTAATTGTGCTTTTTCACCAAAAATCTGCATAATAGTTATGGTGATTCGACAAAACATTGTTAACAAAAAGTACAAAAATAAATAAATAAATAAATATTAAAATGCATAATACTACATAATATTATATTTTAAACATAATATTTGGTGGAAAAAAGCACCATAAATGAAGTGTATTTATTTATAGTGATTTTTCACCAAAAATCACCACAATATTTTTTTGGTACTTCGACAAAAATGTTCACCAAACAGCATTAAATAAAAAAAAATAAATCACCATAAATAAATAATAAGCAAATATAAATGATAATTATAAAAATATTAAACTTTATTTATTTGTGGTGATTTTAGCCATTTTCGGAGGTCAGTGTTTATATAAATACTGTACGGAAAAGAGCAGCCAATACAATCTAGAAAAATAACTCCTTTTTTTGGAGGTTTGGAATGACATAACGGCGAGTAAGTGATGACAAAACTGTAATTTTATTAAGTGTTAAATAAGCTTCATTGTAGCTCTGAATCAAAGTGCACTATTATATTTAACTATTAACATGACCATGTCTCATTTATTAAGTAAACCACACTCTAAACAATTCCGTTGTGGACTCGACATCAAGTTCTGTGCTGCTCAATTAGAGTTTTATTCATCCACTGAAGATTATTCAGATCTTCAATCGTATCTGCTTCCCATGAATACTAAAGTCATGTGAAACACAGGCCCATGTGCATCCCACCAGAGATTCAACACACCATCAAAACACTCTAATTCTATTAAGTCCCTTCATTCATCTCAAATGCCAATGCTCTCGCTCTTGAAACGGTGGGCTGGTGGTACGGATTCAATCAGGGATTTTTGACGGCATCTTTTCCCTTTTTAATTAACTGTGGCGTAGTCGCTATCCGCCTTTTTCCCACCAGTGACCCCAAACCGGAGGATACGGAGCTTCAACCTGGATAGATCTCAAAGGAGCCCCATCACAACAGAAAAACATGCTCACCGACTGATAAAGACCACCATTATTCTGAGATAACTAGACAAGGGGGGAGAGTATTCAATTAAAATGCCCCTCCTTCTGGGACCAGGACGTCCCAGTGAAACTCCCAAAGGTCTGGTTCTCAGAGGCAGGATGGGCCAGTGGAAAGGGTCTCCTCTGGGGTCTCTCATGGCTATCTACCACACCATCGGCTGAAGAGGCTCCCTTGGGGAGCAGGCCGGTATTTTACGCGAGGTGTTAATGAGTGGGCAGAGCCCTTTTCTAGTTATAAAGCAGTGCTAATTTCCTCTGGGCTGCAAGACGCTCATGTGTCCCTTGAGTCCAGAGGGGCGGATCGTGGTCTTTGTCCAACTCCGCCTCTTTTTCTCTGTTTTGGTCTGTTAATCATTTGCTCTGTCACTCTTTAAGAGCACTCTCTCATGTGCACTCATCTCTTGTGGTTTAATAAGAGAGGACGAAGATGGTCAGCAATGCCCTCAAGTTCAAACAAACTTGTCATTCATCAACTAAGTTGTTGTAGGTTAGTCAAGTGAGCTAAGGAGAAGTTTACCCAAAAATGAAAATTTGCTGAAAATGTACCAACCGTTGGGCCATCCAATCTGTTCTTCATTGGAACAGATTTGGAGAGATTGAGCATTGCATCACTTGCTCACCAATGGATCCTCTGCAGTGAATGGGTGCCGTCAGAATGAGAGTCCAAACAATAATCCACAAGTAATCCACACAACTCCAGTCCATCGATTAACATCTTGTGAAGTGAAATGCTACATGTTTATAAGAAACAAATCCATCATTAAGAAATTTGTAACCTCAAACCTTTGCTTCTGGCTAAAATATGAATCCTCCAGTGAAAAAGCAGTGTTGTCTGAATCAGGAGAGAAATATACACAGATTAAGCACTGTTTACAAGCAAAAACAGTCCAAAACAGTTCTTAACAAATATGGATTTTGAGGTGAGAGGACAACAGGGGATGAATTTTTTTACTGGAGGAAGCGTTTTTATGAATTATGGGCTGGTGTTTTTGCCAGAAGTGACCATTTATGCCTTAAAGTTAATGCCTTGATGGATTTGATTCCTACAAACATGCAGCTTTTCACTTCACAAAACATTAACTGATGGACTGGAGTCGTGTAAATTACTTTAGGATTATTGTGATGTTTTTATCAGCTGTTTGGACTCTCATTCTGACGGAATCCATTCATTGCAGAGGATCCAATGGTGAGCAAGTTATGTAGCCTAATGCTAACTTCTCCAAATCTGTTTCAATGAAGAAACATCTACGTCTTGGATGTGCCGAGGGTCAAGGGCTGAGTCAATTTTCACAAAATGTTCATTTTTGCACGAACTATTTAAACCTACAACTTCAAGTTGATGAATGATGAGCTTGAACTTGAACCCAAAACACGAATCTGCGTCAATTAGCCTACAGATAGTTCGTTTTTTTTAAATTTTTTTTTAACTCTAGCTAAACTGTAACTTCCACGGCAGCAAAGTGGCACTGGTGGGTTTAATGTGTCAAACAGCCATTCAGTGAACTATTACTAATTGAAAACCATGGAATGCTAGCCAGACAAATTCCGTTATTGTTGAAATCTAAAGACTCACGGCTTATGCAGCGTCTTCACTTAAACCTGTGCGGAGATAGGACTTTCTCCACTGGATTAACAACTCTACCGTCGTCCAACGAACAAAACGAGTATTTATGATAGCAATGAATATTTCTAGCTGCTATCAGATATCACTGGGATAACAGTTGAATCAGATGTAACCAGATCCCACCCGTCACATCTCTGTTATTCCTTTGCGATAGCTAAATATCATGCGGTGGGTAAATGATTGACTCGATCTATACAGACCACTGGGTGTTGTCTTTTCTTCCATGGAAATTCAGATAACTGTTTCCTGGACAGAGAAAGGATACAGGTCTTTACTTGAGCAGTTGCGTACATTTCAACAAACTATTGCGGATCTGAAGAGGAATAAACATGGGGAAATCAGTCACAGTGCTTCACTGGCTTGTCCTCACGCTGGGACTAGTTGCGGCTCAAGCAGGTAAAGTCTTAACAGATGTTTGGTTTTTGGAGGGTAATCTAGAAATGTGGAAACCAGCATCACTGAGCATATTATAGTAAGACCCAGTGCTCAATTGCAATAGTTTTATATATTTTAACGTACAGTTTTTGTACTATGGCACGTTTTTTTTTTTTTAAGAGAAAGCAGAGCAAGCTCTGCCAAACTGGCTTACGGGAATCATTGCCGTTGGTGTGTTCCTCTTTCTGGTCTTCGTCGTCTTCCTTGTAAACAAAGCCTGGTGTGAAACTCCACGGTAAATATCTGCTTCAATTTCAACACCCTACCAAAAACGGTAGCAGTTTTAACATGAAAGGGACAAAGTTCAACTAAAAATGAAGTATTGTCAACATGTACTCGCGCTCTTGTCCTTCCAAACCTGTATGACTTTCTTCTGCACAACACAAAATAATTTTGAAGAACTTAAAGTCAATGGGGTCCAAAAAACAAAACAAAAAAAAACAACAGCATTTTCCCCAAAATATCTTATTTTTTGTTGTTTCGCTTAAGAAAGTCAGTCATAAATGTGAATAGGCCTATAATATAGGCCTCTCTTTATTAATGAATTAATGAAACTCTCTCTTTATTAATGGAATCCTTAATTGTCTAATCAAAAATAGGCATACATGTCTGAATGATGGTTATTGTAAAGTCTCACAAAACATGTTTACCTAGGCTCTCTTTATATTTCATGCAATACACATTTTATTTAGCAACTAGTTTCCGAAATCTGGTCTGTGTAAACATTTTAATCCGTCTTTGTTGACTAAAGCAAACCAGAAGCAGTACCCAATGAATACGCCATGACCAATGGATCAACCCGTGAAACCAGTCTTGACGCAGTCAGGTAATAATACCTCAATAATACAGCCGTGATAAAGCTTAGAGTGATTCAAGACTATTAAAAGATACACTATCATTAATGATACCACATATGGCCTGAAATCATCTTCAGTCAGAATAAACGCCTCATCTGTTGCTTTATGCTAAGCATGATGTTCCTGAAATTATTCTCATTGCAACAGATTTAAATGTTTCAAATGTTGAAATGTAAATTTTAAATTCAGTGATTAAAAATGAATGGAAAAGAGTGAATAGGCCTATTCCCTTTTAAATGTACGTATTAATCTCTTGAATCGTGACAATTGTTTTTCAGGAGCAGTGAAAACCCTAAAGCATATGAGAACGTGATTGTTCACCAAACCGAAGAAAAAGTGACCGAGATGTAATCTCAAGGAAACGTCCACAACCAGCCGAGTCAGCACGCCATGTTAACCTTATTTGTGTTGTAATAAGTAATAATTTTAACAGCTGACACAGCTTATCTTGTACCAAAGGTTAGCAGTGTTTTTTTGTTTGTTTTTTATTCGATTATACATTAATTGTAGTTCATTTTAAAGGGCATTTGTTGTTGTAACAATCTCTGAACATTTTAATATAATATCAGACATTCAGTATATCACTTGTTGCGCAAACCTCTTTAAATAATATTTAAAAAATCAATAATAATATTAATAAAATCATATATGCTACTATTCAAAAGTCTTTTGGTTTGGTAGGACTTTTAATGTTTTTGTAGGCTGCATTTATTTGATCAAATACACAGTAATATTGTGAAATATTATTACAATTTAAAATAACTGCGTTCTATTTTAATATATATTTTAAATGTCATTTTTTCCTGTGATGCAAAGCTTAGATTTCCGCAGCCATTATTCCAGTCTTCAGTGCTGTCCAAGAAACATTTATTTTTAATGTTGAAAACAGTTGTGCTGCTTAATATTTTAGTGGAAACATTTTTGATGAATAAAGTTAAAAAGAAAAGCATTTATTTTAAATAAAAATCTTTTGTAACATTATAAATACTTTACACTTTCCATTAAATTGAATGCATGCTGAACAAAGTTATTAATTTCTTTTTTTTTTTTTTTTATCTTACCGGTCCGTCACTAATCTTTGAAATGGTAGTGCATGTAAAACCATCACAGAAATGGCTGGTGTGTGTGTTTTTTTGGGCATTAAAACATTTAAATAATGCTTAAAATAAAATAATTAAGAATTTAGAAGTCAAAAGTTGCTTAAAATGAAAATAACTTTATTTTCTGTCACTTCAGATAAATTCTACTTGTCCAAAATAAAGTCACAGACCACTTGTTTGTTTTGCAAATGTTAATAAATCAGCTTTATTTCAGGCTTAGATCTGTATCTAATGTATGCATTTAGCTAAATGGTTTCTTTGGACTTTAAAAACATTACACTGACAGAAAAATGGCAGATATAAAGGTGTTACTACTCGAGTCATCTGAGTGGAAGCCGCTTTTTGTGGTTCACAGCCCAAATGTAAAGATCTAGCAGACGGTAGCAGACTGAGGCGTTGCATTTCTTTAAGGAGAAAGGGGAAGACAGGCATAGGAGATACAGGCAATCTTTTTAAAGGGACATAGCGCTGAACAGTTCAGAACATACTGTCCACATGGCACGAAAATTCAAGAGGCATCGTATGATGATGTGCTTACGAAATCCTAGTGGAAGAGATGGTCTGGACGAGGCTTCCACGCGCTGTCTACAACCTGGAGAGCCCCGATAGTCTCTGAAGAGCCTGCTACACTTCCTCTAGGAGAGAGACTGACACAGGATATCCTCATATTGTGACACACAGACACACACAGTGTCAAACTAGGATGTGCGAGACATCTTCATAAAGACAAAAGCAATGCAAAAAAGCCCTAAAAAGGAAATAAATTACATATTTACACTGAAATGATAGACGTGTTCAATTGAATTACAAAAAAAAAAAAACTGTTATGCATTTCTGTGAATCTCAATACACCATAGCAAAATAATAGAGTGGAATAGTTCTCCCAAATATGGAAATTGTCATCATTTATGTCGTTCCAAACTCATATGACTTATTTTCTTCTGTGGAACCTAAAAGGAGATATTTTGATACTTTTCCATACAATGAATGTGAATGGGGACTGGGCTGTTGCACTCCAAAAATGGCAAAAAAACACATCTTGTGTGCCATTTTTAAGACTCGAATCAAAATAATAGCTCTGTGTAAATAATTATATGACATTTTAATTTCAGAGATAAATTTGAAGTGAAAACTACTTACAAAATAATATCCGTGTATGAAAAATTGCCTGAAATTTTCAAGTGAAAAACACTTTAAAATATTCCTCACACAAAACTATCGTACAATCTCAATAGACGTGAAATGTGGCACACAACTTGATACATTTATTGTTATAATGTCATTCCTGAATTTCTAAAATGCCAGTCTCCATCCATTTTTATTTTAAGGAAAAGAGCAGTGTTTTCAGTAAAACATATAATTTTAAGTTACACATATTTTACATGAAAAATGACTAACATTAATAACTTTGTGTGAAGAATTGCCTGAAATATTACTTAGAGGGAAGACAAGTCATATGACTTGCTTTTGCGATATTTTGATGGTTATTTATGGCATTTCTAAATCACAAAAACTCCAGTTCCCATCCACTTTCATTGTAAGGAAGAGAGCAGCGTGAACATTCTGCAAAATATCTTATTTTTAGCTCCACAGAAGAAAGAGTAATACAGATTTGAAGCAACATCAGGGATGTTTTTCATCTTCTGGCGAACTATTTCTTGAAGTATTCACAAAGCTACCCTGCAACGTAAAGAACCTGATTGAAATGATCCTAATATCTAATACTAGCTATACAAAACATCCCAGTACAATCTGATCTGCCCGTTCCAAGGCACATCTGTCATCCCTTATTATTAACGCTCGTCCATGAATTCATCTACACACTACATACAATTCAACTGATTTCTTAAAAATAGGGCGGGTTTGTCAGTAGGTTGTGTACTTGTGCGTTTTAATTGAAAAAAGATCAGGGCGACCACATTAGAAGTTATTGTATGTGGACTGAAAGGATAATTACAAACAAATTGTGTGTGTTAGCAAGTGTTGTGCAGCTGCTACTTTAATTTTTCCTCCTGGTCTTGAGTTACCAGCACTCATTTCATCAAAATAACCTTCTCTAATATTGCCCCATAATTCACCTGCTCACCGTCACCAGTGGAGAGGCTACATGTCCGTGATTAAAACAAAGACAATGTTATGAGTATTTCTCATTGACTTCGATACCAGGTGCACAAACAGTAACAGGGCGGAGTTTAAACGATCGAGTGCAAATCAGGAAGTAAGGTGGCCGAATAACGGCCGCTGCTGATGCAAAGAGTCTCTTAAGACGTGTGAATGGAATGTGTGTGTATTTCAGTGGATGTAGTCCTTAGTGTGTTTGTTAGGAGAGGACGGACAGCGTGACACTTCCCCGCTGCTTCTTCAGTACGGCCACGGCCTGCTCGTGTGTGACGCCCTCCAGACTCTCTCCATTGACCGACAGCAGCTGGTCGCCGCGCTTCAGACGCCCATCTACCGCCGCTGCCCCCTGTAGGTAAGAGGAGGACAGGATTATTTATTCATTTACAGAACTAAAGGTGACCAACTGACCAGTATTACTCTCCAAAATGCAGATTATTAAAGGGATAGTTCACCCCCAAATTCCCCCCATTCTGTCATTAATTACTCACCCTCGTGTTGTTCGAAACCCGTAAGACCTTCGTTCATCTTCGGAACACAATTTAAGATATTTTTGATGAAATCTAAGAGCTCTCTGACCCTCCCATAGACAGCAAGGTAACTACCACGATCAAGGTCCAGAAAAGTACCAAGATGATCGACAAAGTAGTCCGTGTGACATCAGTGGTTCAACTGTAAAGTTACTAAGCTACGAGAATACTTTTTTGCGCAAAGAAAACAAAAATAACTACTTTATTCCACATTTTCGTCTCTACTGCATCACTTGTGGAAGCGCGTTCACGACAGTATCATGACGCGAGCGTGTGGCGGCGCTGACCCAGATCCGGCGTGATGACGTAATTTCCGTCATGTTCTGAAGATGAACGAAGGTCTTACGGGTTTGGAACAACACGAGGGTGAGTAATTA